GCACTGGAAACCCCAGCACTTGCTGACTAGGATGCCTAGGTCCCAGGCAGAGGTGGCCATCGGAGGGAGTCACAAAGTCAGCATGCATGTATTAACAGTTCAGGCTGCTCGGCTGCGCACACAGAATAATAGAGAGACGACAGTGTGCGTCCAAAGAGCGTCACACCAACTGCATACATATTTGAAAAGATATAGTCGAGTCGTCTGAGCAACGCCTTTACAGAATACCAGCCCTATTCAGAAGCTGTGCATTTTTCTTTGAGCGATGCCCTAGCTCTATAGATCAAACCACTTAATCTCTTCACCCAGGGTAAAAGCTCTTCTCTGTCAACTGGAGTCATCTGATGGAGCTCTAATATGTCAGAGCTATTGTGGACCTACATATTTTTGATTCTGAAACATTTTCTTAAAATGGGGGACCTGTCCCCTCTTCCCCAGGGAGCCCAAGGCTCAGAGTGGCCTTTTACCATGTGATAGTGTGCTGTAATGTACTCACCCTAAGACTTGAATTGTGGGAGATAAACACTCTCGAGAAGCAGCACTGATAAATTAGTTTACATATTATTAAAATTGGTTCCCAAGTTTCCCCTCGAACTTATTCTGAACATGTGTGCTGCATAATTTAATATGAAGTGTATAGCTTGGGGTCTTATATACATACTGAGTATTTGTGGGGTGGGGTCCAAAAACAGATAAATACTCTCATGAGAGTCCTCCACTTATTCCATAGCAAAGCCTCACATTCATATTTCTTTGAGGAAACACATCAAAAGCTCTGACCACTTGGGGTCTTTTGCTGAAAACTGGTCTGTGTGGGATTGTCTGCCATTGTGCCACTCTGAAAAAGTGAGGGGGCGGGGAGAAAAAGCGTAGACTACTTCTCATGCTATGATGATGGACAGCTGCTAGAAAAATGTGTTTGCAATTACACTGGGTGTTTACCCTTCTAAGTTACATGGCATTGGCCACAGATATGAGTCAACACAGAAACATCCTCATATTTGTCATTTTGTTATAACGATCAGCCTATATAAGTGTAAAAACCCATTGGGGGCACGGCTGACTGCCCCCAGAAACAAGGTGTTTGCATTCACCAGGGTCACATCATGGCCACATCGGAATGGTCCTCAAACAATTCCCCACCTCTCACCTGAGCTCCCGACCTGGAGCACCAGCAGCATCTCACTTTCCTCTGGGAGTTGTGTAAGAGCTGCAGCAAAAAATATGTGTGAGCCTCCAAGGGATTCAGACTCGCAAGGTGCTGAACATGATAATGAATGACCCGAGTACAAAGAACAGGTTTTACATTTCTATGTGCCCTTTCTCTCTGATTCTGACCGCCATCATGTTATCCACGTCAATCTATCATCAGTAAACTCATGTTACTCTGCAGCAGGGACTCCCACAGCCCGCTGGACTTGTATCAGGACTTGTTCACACTTGAAAACAGAAGCTGGACATAAACCTCTAGGTTCAACTCTGCCAACGAGCCTCTGAAAACCCCTGATGGCTTCTACAAAAGATAGTGTCTGGTTTAGATTCCCGAAATGGAATTTTGTGGTCAGAATCAACACTATGAAAAATTTCACATAGAAATTCTCAGTTTCTTTAAAAAATTACTTTTCAACCTCTGCATCATTCTTCTTGGCTTCTTTGGACTCACTATCACAGCTCCTGCATGTTCTCAGAGTCCCTGTGTTTCAGATGCTTTGTGTGTTGGGGGGACTGCACAGAACATGGTCCCCGCTGTATCTCAGGAAGGCCAGCCAACCCCTTGGCAGTTTGGTGCCGCTGCAGGCTATATCACAGGCTGAGGAATGATCTGTGTGGTTCAGAGATACCTTCTCTGCTCCAGGCTCTCTGATAGCAAAAGATAAAATACAGTAGCCAGCAGGTCTGCCTCAACCAGACCCTCAGGGCTATTGGACACATGCCCGTCAAACACTGTCCCTTTAACATCATCTGCCATAGTCTTAATAATCTGGGTTTCTCACTTCAGTGTTGCTATTATAAGCATCTAAGTATGCCCATCAGGATGGATGATAGCCTGGCTATTTTAACCCCACAGTGGCTTTTTTTCTTTCAGCCATACTACACCAATATTATAATCTACATACATGCAAAATATATGTACACATTATATACTTATTTGTAATATTAAAAATTCCAGTAACACATGCCTGTATCACAATTTCCAACTCTTAGCAAGCTTTTCACTTGCGTATTTCTGTGCATCTAAGGGAAAGGCAGAGGTGGTGTTTGCAGCTCTTTTATTGCAGCTTCTCTCATATTCATACAACAATCATCACCATGATATAGAAGACAGGGATTTGTGTCCAAAAAACCCCCGCCACATTTTCTTAAAAATGTATATATACACAACCAGTTTTAAACATACTTTCCTACTGGCCCTTAGAAAGAAAATGTTTTCGCTGACCTTGTGTGGTAGGTGTAGCTGGACACGTGGAGTGAGAAGGTACGGCAAACCAGTCTCCCATCATTTCTCATCATACATCATTCAAGTGTGTGTGAGAACTGCCTGTATTCACTCTCAAAATGATTGCTTCAGGTGGCTTGCAGGTGAGATTCAGGGACCAATCAGGGTGACCTAATGGGATTATCAGTGGGAACGCAGCCTGCAACGTGGAGAGAAAAGGAGTGGGCTCAGATTACCCCTTCGTTTTTGTTCATGACGGCAAAAATTTAAGCACACATGGAGAGACACATCTCTCCTTCCAAAAACAAGGTTAGTTACTATACAGACCACCTGTATCTTTGGACTCTTCTGTCATGACCTGAGGAGTGAAGGAAGCATTTGAGCCATTTCAAGTCAACAAAGTGTCCCTCATTCTAATGTCCCCAAATAAGATCACCAGGGGTCTGTTTGCTTAAGCTGTCTTTCTGGAGACTTGAATCCTACTGGAGTCACCCTGTAGGTCCAGAGATACCCCATTCAGAAAGCTTCTTTCTTACACACTGTCAGGGAGATCAACATTGTGCCATCCGGAGGCTGACCAGAACCAGGGAGTGTTTGACTCTACCCCCTCCCCTTTTAGTATAAAAGAAGCCCGAATTCTAAGTCAGGCAAGATGATTCTTTGGAACACTAGTCCACCATCTTCTTGGTCTGAATAAAGTCACTCTTCTTTGCCCCAACAGCTCATCCCTTGATTTATTGGCCTGCCATGCCAAGAGTACAATCTTGGACTTGGTAACACTTTCCTCCAAGATCATTGTCTCAAATGAGTGATACATATGCTGATGGAATGTCTTGTTTTGTTTCAGGTATCATTCTCTCCCTTTTTTGCTTGTATTGTTTGTTTTATGAGGAGGAGGTAATGAGGTTTCTTCACTGATTTCTGCTTGGACAAGGTCCTGGGGATTGAACCCAGGACCTCTTGGGTGCTGAGCATGCACTCTACTACTTGAGCTATACCCTTCCCCCTCTCTCTCTTTTTTGAAATTTAAAAATGCTTTAAAGGTATAGGAATGGGGGAGTGGATTTTTGTATTGTCAGCAATCACTAGGATTGTCAAAGGTCAGTGGTGAGAATTTTTGAGTCTGACTTTGGGAGAATTTTATACTTAAAAAAATACAGTTTTTTTCTATATGGTAATTTATTTTAAAATACTTTAGTATTAACAATGTGGTATAAATCTACATGCAGGTTAACCTTATATTATTCAGAAAAATTTGTTTAAGGGACTGTCACTCAGTCCAAGAACCCAACAGCTCCACCCTCTCCGCCACTGCCCTGGGGAGAACATTTTCAGCAACTGGGCGGCTGGTGAGCCTGATCCCTTCTCCCGGCTTTTCAGCATAGCTGGTTGCTGGGTTACACATCTTCTGGTGCTTGAAGGCAGCTGTTCTCATTAGTCATTACTAGCTGTGAATGGTTCCTGCGCACTTATACCTTGGTAATAAAAGAGGAGTCACTTTGTGTTTCCAAAGGAAATAGGTACCTTCCTATTTCCTATAGGTTCAATTCATAGGGCAACAAATCATTTCTCAGAACAGATAACTCTTCCACAATTCAACGGGCCTGGCACACCACAATGGGGCTCTGCACGTGGCCTCTGTGCCCAGAGAGAAAAGAAATGTTCAACTGCTTTGTGGGCTTTCGCAGTCACTAACCATTTTAATTATCTTTAGAATAATGGCAACTCCAGATCTGTTCTCTCCAGCCAGGAACTTTCACCTGAGCTCCAGACAGACAGATCCATCCAGCTGTCTACTGTCTCCAGTGTCCCACACACGTTCATTGTTCCCTCCCCAAAGCCGGTCCCTTGCTGCTGTTCCTTCTCCCCTGTCTCTGTACCACACAGCACATCTTTACATCAGCCACCATCCAGAACCCTGTGTGTGTGTCCACACTACTTAAATGTGAATGGTTTAATTCAACAGAATTTTGCTTTTCATTCACAGTAGGGGAGTCTGTTTTCATTCTGTCAGGCTTTTGCACACGTGGCTTTCAAGGTCACTCTGGGCACGGCCACCCAGGCAGCCGACCAGGGCAGAAAGAGTAGATTTGGCCTGCAGCCTGTAGTTTGCTGACCCTTGCTTGAGAATGTCAGCTCCAAAGATCACAAGCCTTTCCTGTCTTGTTCGTATTTCCTGTGCTCTCAAACATACTTGACCTTCTTGGGAAAGATAGAAACTTCATATTGTGTCTGAACTGAAATCTGCCAGGAGGACTTTTTATTTCAGTCATCAGAGATGTGTAGAATAAGGAGGTAACACTGCACATCCTCCTGACTGGCAAAAGTGAAACCTCTTGCCCTACCAAATGGTGAGCAGGAGAGGAAGTACACCTCCTACCACTTTGAAAACCAACGGAGTGTTAGTAAATGTGAAGATGGTCCACTCCTAGGAGTATTCTCAAGCAAAACATGCACCAGGATATATGGCTTTTTGTGGCATAAAAGAACACACACAGTATGATTCCTTTATATCAAATTCAAAAACAGGTAAAACTAAACAATGCGATTCAGGTTATATACATTGGTCATAAAATGATAAAGAAAAGCAAGGAAATGATTATGATGCAGTTCAGGGTAGTGATTAGGTCTTTGGGTGGAGAGGTTTGTGATGGAGAAGGCGCACAAGGAGGCTTCTAGGGTGTGGACAGTATTCTCTTTCTTGACTAGAATGGTAGATACATGAGTATTTGCTTTGTAATTATCACTAAATCTCCTTACATGCCTCGTGCACTATTTGTATACGTCACAGTTCACAACTGGGAAAGAAGCAGAGCATGCAGCATTCTATTTTATCATTTGTTTGTTTTTAATTATTTTTACTGGTTTATAACATTATTAAGCTTCATGTGTACAATATTATATTTCGACTTCTGTAGACACTACAGCATGCTCACCACCTGAAGTTTAGTTTCCATCCGTCGCTGCACTGCTGATCCCTTCCACCATTCCGTCCTCCCCCCACGCCCTTCCCATCTGGTAACCACTATTCTGTTCTCTGTATCTACGTGTTTGTTTTTTGTTTGGCTGGTTTTTTTTCATTTATTTTTTTTTGTTGTTTTTTGGGCTTTTTTTCTTTTTTATTGATATATAGTTGATTCACAATATTGTGTTAGTTTCTGGTGTACAGCATAGTGTTTCCATCACACACACACACATATATATTTTCGTTTTCATTATAGGTTATTACAAGATACTGAATATAGATCCCAATGCTGTAGGACCTTGTATATCTATTTTATATATAGTCGTAGTTGTATCTTGTTTTTTGTTTGCTTTTGTCTTATATTCCACATATGAGTGAAACCACATGGTATTTGTTTTTTAAGTAAGACCTGTGTTGTTCTTGCCTAACCCCCTAATGGTGCTCCTTTCTCTTTCTGCTTCTATGACCACCTGAATGCAAATATTCCCTGACTTTCTCTTTCTCATTTGCTGAGAAGGGCAATAAATAGCTTAACACTTGGATTCTCCAAATGCTTACTTCAACAAAATTATTTTCTCTATGAAATATCATAGTAACATAGTTTCTTTTAATATTTTCAAAGTCTGATTTAAGTCTGAGCCAATCATTGAATTCCACATATAGCAGGTGCTCAAATTTTTCAGACAAATGCATATCCCGTGCACGCAATTATTTTCAGTGTGAAAAGTCTACCTCTTTTTTTCTTCCTTGATTTTAAGTTGCACTGGAAGCTTCTGCGGGGACTTGCAAACATTGTTGAAAGTGTAAGAAACCAGAGTTGAATTAATTCATTTTTTTATAAAGAGGAAGAAAATGGATTTTGCAAGCCTCTGACAGCTAAGGATGAGGTTAATTCGAAGCAAGATTCTGGGAAGGGTGAGCATATAGATTTGATTTTAGTACTCTTAAGAAACAGAATGTGAACATTTTCTTGTAGAACTAAATAGTAGGCAAAGTTTTTTTCCTGCTGAGTAACCAGCATGAGCTTTTTTACCCAATTTTTGGTAAGAATTATATAACGTACTGTCTCAAATTTTGCTGTGAGCTGCTAGGAAACAGCTTCAGGCTCTCCTGCATGCAAACCTTTACAGTCTGCACAACTGGATTCCATTTTCTGCCCCTGGTCACTCTCCCTATTCCGATTTAAAACCCTTTGGCCTTGCTTTATAGTGCTTATTTGTGCTTTACTATTATATTGTGTGTTTCCCTTATGACACATTCAGATGCTTAGGGAAACAAGAGGGAGACAGCAGGAAGAGGGAGGAGGTGAGAAAGGGAAAGCAGACTTGGAAAAGGACATCAGAGCATAGGGTCCAGCATGGTTTCTTTAAGCAACAAGTCATGGTGGACAAATCTAATGTCCTTCTTTAATAATAAAGAATTAGATCGGCTACATGGGTAAGGAAGGTAGGGAGCACAGGTACCTCTGTTCGGGCAGGGCCCTCCCTGACGTGCTGTGACACCTTTCTAGCCAGCATGGAGAAATCTACAGTAACAGCAAAGCACCACGGAAATTCAGAATGCTTGCTCTTAAGCCAAGAAGGTGAGTTTCTGACTGGCAGAGATTGTGCTTGGGCCCAGGTCCTGGCCTCTCAGTATCTTCACCAGTGACTTGGGTAAAGACCTAATGAGCATCCTCATCAAAGTAGATCACAATGTGCACAAGGCATGGAGCGCAGTATAGCACAGCCGGACGAGGCACGGGCTGGGAGCAAAGAGACGCTGGTTTCAAATTCTACCTCCACCTTCGTGTTAAGAGCGTCATCTCGGGCAAGTCGCTGATGAGCCCTCATTTCATAACCTTTAAAATGAGGAGGTTAATAATACTTGCTTTTAGGCTTATTATGAAAATTAAAGGCAGCATACACAGCACCCGGCGTAGAGTAGATATTCAATAAATGATGAATATACTTGATTGCATAATTAGGATCAGAAGAGATCAGGCAGACTGGGGAGGTGAATCGAATTTCATTAAGTAACATGAGATGGTTTTATCTTATAATTCAGATTTGATTAAAAACTAATAAAAAAGTAAATACACAAAAACAACTTGCAAAAATCCAGGGAGAGGAAACTGTGGGCATAGCTCTCTCTACAAACCTGTCTGCACTGGACTCTGAGAGGTTCGCTTTGTGCAAGCCTTTCAGCCAAAGCAGATCCCGTAACAAAACCGGGAGTCAGAAAGCAAACTCCCCACGGGTCAGCTGTGTGACCCGGCACCGCCCCAACCACACGAGCTGGTAGTAATTCTCCCCTGGGACTCTCTGCCTGGCGACGTTCCAGTGGTGGAGCACATAGATCCTACCCCAGTCATTTACAGCCCCCAGGGCAGCAAACGGAAAGCATTTGCTAAATTGCATCTCTCTCATTCACGTTTTCCTAAATCCGTCTCATCACTGTTTTGAGCACATCCTGGGAAAGCTCTGGCCCTCCTTAGAATTCAGAAGTAGAACTTATTCTTGGTGGGAGACCAGAGATCTATTTGATGAATATTTCATCTGGAAAGCTTCATGACAGCTCTCAATTCATAGAGAATAAAAATAATCTCTTGAACTTCTTTATTTGTGTCTGAAGAGGCCAGGAAGGTTAAGAGTTTCCCACACTAGCCCCTTTCACCAGGTCTAAGGAGAAACGTAAAGGTGGCCTTTATTTTTTGGCCCCATTTATTCAGCAGAATTTGGTGAGTTGCTACCACGTCAGGCACCACATTAGGAACATAAAAACTGTCAGTGGAAATACTCAATAGCCACTCTATAATAGGAAGAAAAAAGAGTTTTATTTGAGCCAAACTGAGGAATATAGCCTGAGAGACGCAGATTTAAGAAGCACTTGAATTGTGTTCCACCAGACTACTAAAAGCTTATAAAAGCAAACCCCATAAAATTACACAAGTTGTTTGTCAAGAATTATAATTGGAGCTGGCAAGAAGTAAGGGTGCTTTTTAAGCAAGGATGGGTTGGGATATAAATGGCTGCATAGTTACCAAGGGAAATCTTGAGACCGTTAAGTTTGCAGCTGGCAGCTGCTAGCGTATATTGTTTCGAGAATGGCTGGTGGCGTCTTTGAGTCTGATAGAGTTCAGAAAATTCAGGTTCTCAGTAACACAGAAACGTGTCTGAAACCATGTCCACAATGGCCACCCAGTTCCATTTTAAATGCCTGAACCACAGTTACTCCATTTTGACTTTGTTAATGCATTCTTTTCTTTAATGGTTAAAGCCGATGTACCATGTATGTTTAATAAGCCACAAACAGGCTGTTCTGGTTGGCCTAAAGTTCAAGTTAAACTATGTATAAGCCAGAATGACTTCCCCATAACTCAATATGTGATCATTTTTTTCCATCAAAATGAATAATGCTGTCTCGTGTTGGTCCCTTAACGGGCCACGCCCTATCATGCCAGTGGTCACAAGACACCCCATAAAACATCACTGCTCGTCCCTCAGTTCTGGCTCAACTTCCCCCAAGCAAATATTACCACCATGCTCTGTGACACGCAGTTCTGTGGAATCCCCAACCTGCTTGCTTATTTAACTCCTCAGCTGGTCTCGTATGATTTATACCCCAGACTGTTACCTTGGCTCTGACCCAGAAGTCTACACAAGGCTGCATCTGGTGATGGCCTCTCCACCCCATACCCTATCCCACAGGCAAGTCGAGCCCAGGCCTGGGTCACTGCAGGCCGGCCAGCAGCTTCCCCCTGGGCCCTCACCGCCCAGGAAGGGAGACAGGGCAAACCCCAGTGGATCTGTCACCATGCAAGGCCCTCCCAACCCACCTTCCCATCCCACAGCCAGCACAGCTTGGAGGCTCCTCACAGACCCCCCCAGGAACCCCAAGTGCCGAGCAGGTGAGCTCTCTAAATTCTCCGTGGGAAATAATCTGTGCAAATGCA